CTCCAACAGTAGAACATAGCAATGGATAGGGCTCTGGACTTGGAGTTGGAAAGATGTGGGTTCAAATGCTACCTCAAGGTATTACTAGCTGTGTGGTCCTAGGCAAGACATTTGACCCAGCCTCAGTTTTCCTCTCTGTATAATGAGGAGGTTGTACTCATTCTCCTCTAGGATCTCCTTCAAGTTCTAAGTCTGTGATCCTATGATCAATCAATCAACAAGCTTTTATTAGCAGTACTCATGCTCCAGTGGCACAGCCATTGACACCAGGGCAGCCCTTTCACACAAGAAATAGCAGAGGGTATCTTTAGTTAAAGATTGCACACTGGTTACCCACAAGATATTTATGTACCTGGAAGGGTTCCAACTAACATTTATATAACAATTTAAAGTTTACAAAGCTCTTTACATATATTATCTGCTCTGTTCTTTATCGTTATGAGTAGGTGCTATTATTATCTCTATTTTACAGATGAGGAAACCGAGGCTCAGAGAGATTATATGACTTGCTATGGGTCACAGAGATAATAAATATCTGAGGCAGGCTTTTAATATTAGGTAGACTGTCAGCTGAGGATTTAAGTGACAACATTGATAAGAATCTCACCAGAGACATAAATAAGGGCTTGTGTTAGGGGTGGGAGCATCTCCACAGATAAAATCACAGATCCAAAGAAATGCCAAAGTCTCCTTAACTACAGAGAAATCACTTCTAGGTGGAGGCCACTAACAAAATGTACTTCTCTTTTCTCAACACCACCTTAAAGGCTTATTTTTCCAAGTTATGTGGCTGGAGCTGGGGCTCGGAATTACTTCTCTCCCACTACCAAAGATATAACAAATATAGACTAAAGAATGAGGGAGAAAGTAATATGCAACAGGTCAAGCTCCCTAGAAGGAAGACTGGAAGGGAAATTGTGTATGGTTTGGCACCAAAATGGCTCTGGAGAGAGAAGCTAATGGAATTTCCATTGTTTGGGCCTTTGTCCAGAAGAACAGCCAAATTTATATGCTGCTTTAGTTTTCAAAGTGCTCTGCATGCATTATTTTATTTGGTCCTCAAAGCAACCCTGTAAGGTGGGTAATACAATTATCTTCACCCCCATTTTACAGATGAGGAAACAGAGAGTGATGGAGGTAGAGTGGCAGAAAATATAACACTCAACTCCAAGTCTCCTGACTCCAAACTCTTTTCATAATTTTGTAGCTGCCTCCAATCCATGAGACCAGTATAGGAACAGTTGAATAACTGAGAAGGAACTGATGGACGCAGGGGAAAAGTGGAAGGTTAGTACAGGGTAAAGCCCATTCAAAAAGGATTCCCAAAGCCTCCAAGGGATCAGCACAGGCAAAAAAAACCCCAAAAGCCAGCTCTCAACATGATATTTCTAAACCCAGGATTAGAAGAGAAACACACCTGCATTTTCTACAACATCTGTTGTGGAAAGAGAGCTTAGGTTACATTAAAGAAAGGCACGTGATAAAAGAGAGGGAGAGAGAGAGAGAGAGAGAGAGGAGAGAGAGAGAGAGAGAGAGAGAGAGAGAGAGAGAGAGAGAGAGAGAAAGAAAAAAATAGAGACAGAGTCTCAAAAACATGGGAGGCATGTTCCCTGTCTTCTTCTGCCATACCCAAGATCACATCAAGGACTGATATATTTTTGGAAGGATATTGATCAGCTTGATCAAGTCTAAAGGATGTCAGCAAGGATGTTGAGGGGCCTCAAACCCATTAATCGGCCAAAGGAAATGAGGATGTTTAGTACGACAAAAGGAAGGTTTAGGGTGGATATGGCAGCTGCCTTCAAATACAAGGTTTGTCCTGTTGAAGAAGATCCAAACTTGTCCTATTTGATTTCAGACTAGGAACAGGAGGAGGTGAACATTTCAGAGAGGCTGATTTAGACTCATTTAAAGAAAAAACTTCATAACATCTAGAGCTGTCCAAAAATGGACAGGGGTCATTCCTTAGAGGGTGATGAGTCCCCCTCACTAGGTCTTAAAACAGAAGCTGATAACCACTTAGTGGTATCGTTATGGTTCAGAATTTTTTTTTTTGGTGAAGCAGTTGGGGTTGAATGACTTGCCCAGAGTCACACAGCTAGTGAGTGTTCTGTATCTGAGGACAGATTTGAACTCCTTACTCCAGGTCCTCCTGACTCCAGGGCCAGTGCTCTATCCACTAAGCCACCTTGCTGCTCCAGTGTACTAGTATGGAAGAGATTCTTTTGTGGGTTCAGGTTAGACTAGTGACCTCTAAGGTCACTTCTAATTCTGTGATATCTGGGGTGGCTGCAACCACTCCAAATGGATCTCCAAGAGGCTCTAACTTCTCAGAAGGGAAATGAAACAATGACAGGTAATTAATGAAGGCCTATGTAAGAACACATAGACACCCAAGAAAACGAGACCACAAAGATTTTTCCCTGTGATTTGGGTAACTGCTTTGCAGAATCTAAGAACCAGATTCAAGATGAAATGGTGAAGTAAGTCAGGTTTCACTGAAGAAAACATCCTCCTTCCCCTCTTTCTTTCTATGCCCTTTCCTCCCTGAAAAATCCCACACCCCCCCCCATACACACATATGCCCCACTAAGGTATTAGGGCCTGAATGCTCCTCCTTCCAGGAGTATTTACCCTTTAAAAGAAAAAAAAAGAAATTGGGTTTACACTAAGGCAAGAGAGATCTGGTGGGACATTCTCTCTCTCACCCTCTCCCCTCCTTTTTCTCTTCTCCCTCACTCTATCTTTCCTCTCTTCTCCCTCTCTCTCCTCTCTCTTTCTTTTTCTTTCTGTTTCCCCTTTCTCTCTCTTTTCCCTTTCTCCTTCCCCCTTCTCTCTTTCCACTTTCTCTCTCTGTCTCTCTCTCTCCTCTTTTTTCTCTCTGCCCCCACTGTCTCTCCCCTCCTCTCCCTCTCTCTTCTTTTTTTCCTCCTTTCTCCTTCCCTCCTTTTCTCTCCCCTCTGCTCTTTCTCTTTCTCTCCTCCCTCTCTCTCTCCTCTCCCCAGCCCAATCTGCCCGGCATATTAGAACTCTTTGAGGAATAGGTAAATGACAGCATGCCCTTTCTCCACCCTGCAGCTAGGGCTCACCTAAGTGGGCTGCGCCAGAGCTTTGGGCTCCTGGCTGTCTTTTCTGCTTTGTGTTTTCTTTCCTGAACACAAGCCAAAAAGCAATCCTGAGATGGATGTGTCTGGCCTTGGATGCAGCCCCTCAAGCTCAAGAGGTTGGGAGTAACTAGCTTTCTCAGTAGGAGTTAAGAACATGTTCACATATATACATTTCCCATCTCTAGTTACCTTTCAAATATCTCCAATTGGATGTTCAATAGATGTCTTAAATTGCATGTCAAAAAATGAACTCATCTTCCCCCATAAATCCTATCCCCCTCCAAACTTCCCCATTACTGCTAAGGACACCAACATCCTCCCAGTCCCTCAGGCTCATAACCCAGACATCACTCGCCCAATCTCTTAGGCCTTATGGTTTTATCTTTGCTATATCTCTTAAATGTGCCCCCTTCTCTCCTGACCCTGCCACCACTACTCTGGCTCAGGGCCTCATCACCTCAGGCCTCGATTATTTTGTTCCAGCAGGTGGGTCAGCCTGCCGCAAGTCTCCATCCACTCCAATCCATCCTCTAGTCAGCCACCAAAGTGATTTTCCTAAGGCATAGGTCTGACCATGTCACCCTCCCCTACTCAATAAACTTCAGTGGCTCCCTATTGCCTCCAAAATCAAATACAAAATGCTCTGTTTTGTGTTCAGATCTTGTCATAACCTAGAACCCTCCTACCTTTCCAGTCTTCTTAATACCTCAGTCTCTGTCACATTCTCTTCAATTCTGTGACACTGGCCTCTTGGCTGTTTCACAGATAAGATGCTCTGTCTCTTGGCTCTAGGCACTTTTTCTGGCTGTCCCCCATGCCTGCAAAGCTCTTCCTCCTCATCTCTGCCAACTGGCTTCCCTAATTTCCTTTAAGTCCCAACTTAAATCTCATTTTTTACAGGAAACCTTTTCCAATCCCTCTTAATTCTAGTGCTTTCACTCAGTTAATTATTTCCCATTGATCCTGTATATAGTTTGCCTTGTATGTACTTGTTTGCTTGTTGTCTCTCCCATTAGATTGTGAGTGGAGAGATTGTCTTTTACCTCCTTTTATATGCCCGAAGATTAGCATAATTCCTGGCACAGACAACGTGCTTAATAAATGTTTATTGAGTGACTGGCACATATGTGTGTGAGCATGATTAGCATGTGTGTGTGTGTGTGTGTGTGTGTGTGTGTGTGTGTAGAAGGCTCAAATAATATAACATAAAGTGCTTCAAACTTAAAGAGCTATATAAATTGAACTATTCTTATATGGTGAGTTAAGTACATAAATATTATATATTACACATATATGTACAGCTATGTTGTTTTTCCCTAGTAGAATGCAAGGTCCTTGAGGGCAGTGTCTATTTTCATTTTTGTCTTAATTCCTCTAGTTCCTAGCCCAGCTATGGTAAAACTGTACATTCAATTGTAAAATAGAATTTAACTGAGAAATATGAACTGACAGAAGACTTTAACAGCCTGATGACAAAGAAAAAGAAAGAGAGGATGCTCTTCACCATCTGGAGCCACTGGGAACAAAAGCTACAAAAGTTGTAATTTCTGACTAGGGCTCCTTGATGAGGGAAAAGAGAAAGGGCATTTACAACTTGGATTCAAATTCTCAAGTCATATAAAGCTGGCCCTTCAAGGCAAAGGGCATTACTGTGAGAATGGCCAGTCACTTCCTATGAATGGGGCCAACAGGAGGATCCTGGAAGATATAGAATCAAGACCAGTGGGGGACCTTAGATCCCCCTCCCCGGGTTAGCCCTTCACAAGGGCCTTAGCAGAGATAAAGAAATCCCAGAAAATATTTGGGGGCCCCTAAGCCTGAGATGTGGTCATCTACCCCACGCTCAAACCCAGTGGGCAACAAAAAGGTTTAACAGGACTTTAAAGGACTTACTGTGCCCCTCAAACCAGGATGATAGACTCTTCAACCTTCAAGAAGCTGGTAGAGAAGTCCCACAATCCTCTACAGGCTTTGGGCCCCTTGAACAGAGGCGTGTTTGGGAAGCCCGCTCGAGCTCCTCTCTCCCTTGTCTGGGAGCACTGGGTGGGTGTTCTCAAAGAAGCCCAAACTTCTGTGACTGATTATGTGCTGGGCGAAGGCAAAGTTGGCAGAAGCATCTGGGTGTGTACAAGAGAATTTAGCCTCAGATTAGAAATGAACATGTGTGATAAAATAACTGAAGCCTGAGAATCCCTAAAAGATGGCCTGACCACCCATGAAATAAATACCAGAGGCTACATCTTGCCAGTCACAGCACTCCCACATCTTATAAAAACACTGACAGGCACAGCTGATGCTGGTGCTTGAAGTAACTACTCTCGGCTAACAGACCCTGGGCTATATCAATGCTATTGATTATTAACAAACCCACATACTCTAAGGACCATAGGAACATAGATCTAGAGCAGGGAGGGACCTCAAGAGGCCATCTCCTCCAATGTCTTTATTTTGCAAAAGAGGAAACTGAGGCCCAGGAAAGACCAGCGATTTGCCCGAGGTCACACTGGTAGTAAATGTCAGGGGCGGGATTTGAACCCCAGTCTAGGGATTCCAGAGTCAGAGCACACTGTTGCCATTTGTACCAACCAGACAAGTTTAGATAATATTGCTAAATTGTTGTTGTTATAAGGGCAGCTAGGTGGCACAGTAGATAGAACACCAGACCTGGGGGAACACCTGAGTTCAAATTCAGGTTCAGACATTTACTAGCTGTGTGACCCTGGACAAGTCACTTAACCCTGTTTGGGTCCATTTTCTCATCTGTAAAATGAGCTGGAGAGGGAAATGGCAAAACATTCCAGCATCTTTGCCATGAAAACCCCAAATGAGGTCTTGAAGAGTCGGACCTGACTGAAACAACCCAACAATATTAGTTCATTTGGTGATTTCATCCACTGCCGTGGATTCAATAATCATCTCCATGCAGGTGATTCTTAGATCTATTTATCCAGCCCTGATTTCTTTCCTGAGCTCCTGTCTTGCATCTTAACATGAATCTTGCATCTCAAACTGGATGGCCCTAGACATATTAAACTCAACATGCCCAAAACTGAACAAATTTTGTCCGCCTCCCTCCTCAACCTTCTCATCTTCCTGAATTCCCCATTACTGTCAAGGGTGCCCCTATCCTTCCAAACCCCTAGGCTCTAACCTTGGTGCCATCCTCTACTCCTCATTCTCTCACCCCCTATATCCAATCAGCTGCCAAGTTCTATTGTTTCTACTATCATGCCATCTCTCCTATTGCTCCCTTCTCTCTTCTGACACCTTCACCACCCTCTTATACCTCATGCCTGCACTTTTGCAATAACTTGCTGATTGTTCTCCCTGCCTCAAGTCCCCCCCAGTCAACAGAAAGCATTTAGAAAGGGTTTAACAAAATTGATTGAACTGAAACGAATTCAGATCCCTTCCTGCTACAAATCTATGATTCTAGTTTTGAAAGAAAAGGGGAGAAAAGTCAAGGAGATGTTTTTCTAGAGTCATTTGAAAGTTGTGCTACCAGAACCCAAGGGACCGTATGAGACAAATTCCCTCTACTCCTATGATTGTAATAAGGTACTCTTAAAAACAGGCCAACTCACTCCAGAAAAAAAAAAAGAGTGATCCCATTGTTCTAAATCCTATTCAAAGTACTTATTCATATTGTGTTAGAGGGTTGGCTTCTTATAGCAGGTGGTGGTTTTGACACTGTTCTAACCTCCATAACATCAGGGAGTTTCTGTTCCTCTGCACCATTTTTTTTCTCGTTTCCTTAAACAGAAGCTCTTTGATGGCCAGTACTTCCTGTTTATTGACTTGTTACCAAGCTGCTCCCCATCTCTTATATCACATCCTCTTCCAAAAGAGAACCTTACCCATTCTTCCTTTTTTGGTGCTGTGTGTGGGGGTACCTGAAGGTTCAGGCTGAACCCAAGTACTCCATCCTCTGCCCCATGACATCTCTCAACACCCAGGGTAGCCTCTATGCCAGGTGTGGGGAACCTGCAGCCGCACTTGAGGACCTAGAGGGCCACGTATGGCCCCTGCCCTAAGCCCAAATGATAGGGCGAGGGGGGAACATGGGAGAAGTGGGAGGAGCTGCCAGCACAAAACAGAGTCTTTGATTACATCATCAGTGCTGTTAGCATGTCATTCATTCAATAAACATTTATTAAGTGCCTAATTAATATGCCAAGCACTGACTGGGCTAAGGAACTGGGCAGACAGACCCTTCCCTAAAAGACCTCCAACTGAGGAGAAATAACATTTACAGAGATGAGTCAGTACAAACTATGTACAAAGTGTCTATGAACTCTTTTTTGGTGGTTGAGAAAGGCAATAACAACTAGGAAGGATCAGAAAAAAGGCTTCGTGCCCAAGATGACATTAGAGCTGAATTCTGAAGGCTGTTAAGAGACTGAAGGTGAGGAGGGAGGGCATTCCAGGCATGAGGGACACAGCTTTTGCAAAAGCACAGAGGTGGGAATGTCTTGTATTAGGAAAGGCAAGGAAGCCAGTCTGGCTGGAAAGTAGAATGCCTGAGGCAGGGTAATATGAGAGCAGTCTGGAAAAATTGGTTGGAGCCAGACTGTGAATAAGTTATCAACGTCTATCGAGAAGCAAGAGGCAGGAGCATCTCAGGTAATAAAAACTGGTGACATTTACGAAACACTTTAAAATTTGCAGAATACTTAAAGTTTATGTACATTATTTTATTTAAACAGTCCTGTAAGGTAGGTACTACAAGTGATTGGGGGGGGGGGGTACACAGGACCTTTTTGTTTGTAAAATGCAGGAACTAAACCCACTTCTTCCTGACTGAGGCTGCCTCTCACTCACTAAAGGCATTAATATTCCCATTTTATAGATGAGGAAATAGAGGCTCTACAAGGTAAAGTGATTTGCTCATAGTGCCATAGCTAATAATATTAATAATAATAAATAATAGCTTAAAATTTCTATAAAGTTTTAAGGCTTGCAAAGGGCTTTATGTTATTTCCTCATTTGATTGTCCTTGAAACCGCCCTGTGAGGTAGATACTATTATTATCCCACTTCACAGCTGTGGAAACAGGGTGAGAGAGGTTAAATGACTTACCCAGGCACACAGTTAGTGAATATCTAAGGCAGGATTTGAACTCAGTCTCCCTGACTCTAATTCTGGCCCACTAGCCATTGTGATACCCAGGTATTCCTGACTCCAAATCTAACAGGCTTTCTACCACACACACAGAAATGAGCCTCAGAACTCTCTTAGGTAATTCATTCTCCCGTCACAAATCTCATTCCCTTTAGACAACATAAGAAAAAAGTAGAAAAAAAAGTAAACAGAAAATAAGAATAAGACAGGATTTGGGGCCCAGGGCCCAGCTTCCCCTCCCAGCTCTACTCCTAACTTGCTGTGGGACCGGAGGCAGGTCAACCCTCAAATTAATCTGAAGGCCAAAGAAAGGGGTGAAATCCCAGGGCTGCCACTCCCCACCCCACCCTGGAAATGCTATGATCAAGTGGTACTCCACTTCACCTCTGTACTAGTCTCATAAATGTAAAGAGGGAGGGGGCAAGTGCACTGGATGTTAGATGTTGTCTTATTATAACAGCAGGACTTAACCACCACCCTGAGCTTCAAAGCCTACTGACTTGTACCTGTTCTCCGGAGTGATGACTAATCAGGGAAAAGAGACACCTTGGAATTTAAAGAATGCTTTCTTTAAAAGGAGTTCAAAGAGCTTGACCTTGCACTGCTCTAACCAGATTCTCCAAGTAGCCTGAACTCCTTTTTATGGTGGCAAAATTGGGAGCTATAGCCTGCTTCTCCCCAAGGCTACTCATGAGCTCGAGTCAGAACTCAAAACCCAGCTCTGTCTTCCCATCTGGTCCTGTTCCACCAGCTTTTCAGGGTGCCAACTTAAGAAAAAGCTCAGGACATGTGGGTAGGACATAGGTTCACTAGGTCAGAAGATCACAAATTCAGAATTGAAAGGAAGCAAAAGTCAGGTCCAATACACACATTTTACAGATAGGGAAACAGGAGCCCAGAGGACTAAAGGAGCTTACCAGAGGTCAATGAATCCACCAGCACTTTTAAGCACCTACTATGTGCCGGGCATCGTAAATACACAGACAAAAAAATGATACGGTCCCTAACCTTAAGGAATTTACATTCTATTCAGGGAAACAACATATCCCCATACAAGTATAAACACAATATGGATGAGGGCAGCTAGGTGGCACAGTGGTTAGAGTGCCTGTCCTGGAGTCAGGAAGACCCAAGCTCAAATCCAGTCTCAACACTTACTAACTGTGTGACTCTGGGCAAGTCACTTAACCCTGTTTGCCTTAGTTTCCTCATCTACAAAATGAGCTGAGGAAGGAAATGGCAGACCACCCCAGTAGCTTTGCCAAGAAAATCCCAAATGGGGTCATGATGGAGAGTCAGACTTGGCTGGAAAAGGATTAAACAATAACAACAAATAGAGCGGGGCAAGAGGAGAGTGAGGGAGAGGGGAAAAGGCAACTAGTATCTGGGGAGTGGGAAGAGGGATCACAACAGGCTAAATGTTGAAGCTGGCATTAGAGCTCAATCTTGAGGGAAATTATTAGAGGTGGAGGTAAGTAGGGAGTGTATTCCTGGGATGGTAGAGAGACTGTAGGAGGACAAAGAGATAGAGTGTCATGTGTGAGAAACAGCAAAATCACACAGGCAATAAGAGGTAGGAGGTAGGATTTCAACCCAAGTCCTCTGACTGTTTCTACTGTGAATAGGACATGGAGCATTTTATAAATGAAGAAACTGAGGCACAGAGAGATCAAGTTAAGTCTGCCCACACTGACAAGACCTACAATGGCACTGGACTCAGAGTCAAGTTGAAATCAAGGTTCTGCCACTTCTTCATTGTATGATCATGGGTAAATCATTTCATCTTCAGGGACTTCAGTTTCAAAATCATGGAACTTCAGAGTTGGAAAGGACCCAAGGAGCCATCTAATCCAACCTATATTCAAGAAAGAGCCCCCTCCCCCACCACATACCCTTCCAGGGGTCTTCCATCCAGCCTTCCTTGGATGACTTCCAATGAAAAGGAACTCCTGCCCTTGGGCACTTATTCCAATGCTGGATAATCCTGTTAGGAAGT